GGTCTTAGCATTTAGGGGCTAGTAATCTGTGGGAGACTGTTTCTCATAAGGACCCTTATAGGGTGAGGGGAAGGGGGGTAGGGGGCCTGAATGCCCATAATAAGGACTTAACAAGGCCTATTTAAGGAAGTATAGTCCCCTACCCTCCTCCCTTCTACCACCCCAAGATTCCCTAAGATTCTTGCTGAAGCCTTTGCTAGGAGGCGAAACTGGCGGAGGACATGGCCAGCCACCTCCAAAACGAAACGCGAGGCTCTGCTTGTCTTTCAGATTTCCATAGCCGCGGGAAGCTAAACATTAAAACCGAAGTTAAGAGTTATATGTTGTATGCTATAGTATACCATACTACGCTATACTATACTGTGCTATACTATACTGTGTTATACTATACTATAACAGTTGAGTTTGCAGACCAAGCCGTGGTCTTCGTGGGGGCGGTGGGGCCAGGCCCTGTTGACTCAAATCATTCCAGGTCACCTAAATTTGTAGAATAGGGTTCCTTAAAAAGGTTCTTTACAGGTTACTAGAAGGGATCTATAATGGGGTTTTAGCTAATATAGGGGCCAAGCAAATTCCGGATACTTTTTTTGGGGGTTCCTCAAAATACCAACAGTATAAAGGAGCCCAAAACCCTATTCAGGCCCCTGTGTTCGATTGTTATGGCTAGTCTAAGGCTAGTCGATATCATGCTTCTGACTTCTACTCTGCTACTACAAGCTTGATGTTCAGCCGGGCGACCCCGTAAGAGCATCGCTGTGAGGCGCAGAGGAGTTGATCAGAGACCACCAGGCGCGTGGCAGGGCTTTCGGTAGAATGTCGGAGAGTAACCATGAACTTACCAGGAAGCTCACACAAGCCGAATTCTAGGAAGCTGAACGCAGAATAACAACTCTGTTAGCTAGACTAGGTCCTAGCAGCTGCAATGCCAAGTGACATCTCTTTCTGCACGTAAACGCGTCCTCCTCCTCCTGCTCCTCCTGCTCCTTCTGCTCCTCCTCCTCCTCCTAAAGAAACTGTCGTACTGTAGTTCGACCAGCCTATTTACAAAATAACTACCACCAACTCTCCTTCTACTGGTTACTGCTGCTATTACTACTACTGCTACTACTACTACTACTACTACTTCTACTACTACGACGATTGCTACAACTACTACTACTACTACGACGATTGCAACTGCTACTGCCACTACGGCGACTCCGGTAGCAGCGCGATCGAAGCTTCGGAATCTGCCTAGGGCCGCAAAATGATAGGACCCTGATTAAGAAACCCTGGGGCTAGAACCCCAAAATAGAAGGAGTCATATAAGGAACCCTAATGAAGACCCAAGGTTTCTTAATCAGGGTCCTACATTACAGTGCCAGGCGCCACTGAGCGATTCTAGTGCCTCGAACACCACCAGCCAGAGCGAAGGCAAGGAGTTCCAGACGGGCCTTCGTGCGGTTGTGTCTTAGTTCCGCAATACCCAACCGTTACTTTTTTGTGTTCTTATAGTGTAGTAGTAATCGGAAAGTTTAGTAAGGTGTAGGGTTTTGTTGCAGCTTGTTTTTGAAGGTTCGGGTTTTCAGGAGATGTTGGATTTAGAGATCAGTCGAGCCCTAGTGCTTCTGGCCCGAAATCCCAAAAGCTCAAGCTCAAACCTGCAAAACACCATTGATCTCAAACGAGAAACCTTACATTCCTAGAGTACTCTGGGTCAGCAGACGAATAAGCAAGTCTCGTCTTCGTTCCTGCATGCCTCAAAGGCTTAAGTCCATACGGTCAAAGTCTTGGCTCTAGGGTTGAGGGCCATAAACTCTAAAGCCTAAACTTTGTTAGCGTCTAAGTACAAGGGTGTGGGGTTGAGGGTAAAGTCGCCAAGCCAGGAACCACGGAACCCGCTCTAGCAACCACCCTAGAGGGATCGACTGCAACGTAGAGTATTGCAAACCCTGCAGCCGAAACATCGCAAGGACTTAAATTTCGAGGCCTGCAACCCCAACCCGAGACCCCAAGCCCGATTTGGGTAGTTGTCAAAATTGGGGTCCCGTTTTGGGTCCTTATTATAATGCGGCACCTATTATTTAGGGTACCCAAAAAAGGGGCCAAAAAGGGACCCTAATTTTGACAACCACCCAAATGGCAGAGACCAGAAGATGTCTCGGACAGGTGCCACAAAAGCCCTTCTCGAGGAGTCCTGCTCTGGGCCTTTTGTGTTTAGACCAGTGCTCTATACCCAGAGCCCCCAAAGTAGTTCCTTTGTGGGATTGCCTTATAGGATTCTATATATGACCCCCAAAAAGGAACTACTTTGGGGCCTTTGGGTAAGGGGTTGGTATGATAAGGGGGATCTGGTAGGTTAAGGGTTTGTGAAAGGGCTCTGTGAAGAATGCGGGTTTTGGAGATTTCTGACGTACGTGTAGGGCTGACACTTTTGGCATTGGGGTCATGAGTGTAGGCCAGAAAAAACAAATCTTTTTGTGGATGTTGATCAAAGTTTGTCCGGGCCGAGGCTTCAATGTTTCAGGCGGCTGTGTAAGCTTTAGTTAGTTGTACGATTTGCGGGTTTTGGGGAGGCCAGCTGCACAATGTCGCAGAACCGAAAGCTCTAGACTCTCAACATCCGCCCCGCCTGAGACTTTAGTGACTCAGCCCGAAACCGGCCATGACCTACCTCATGGAGGGCCCCGGTGCATCCTGCACACAAGTTTGTAATGAGGCCCCGCAGTGGGTCATGCCAGTGTAAGGTGCGGTCTTTGTCGTTAGGCTTGACCCCACGCCTTCACTTCCTCCAGGAGAATGACAACGGCATGAAGGAGCTCGACATGTTGGCTGCTTGGCAGCAGTTTCCTCACACTTGAAATGCTATGTTACTGGAGATAAAGCCAGATAAAGCTGTAGTTGGAAGTCGTGTTAGACTTCGCATTCTTTGGAGAGTGAGATGAACCCTGATTGCATTCTCCCGTCTCAACGTGAGTAGCCCAAAGGGCTGCTTGTAGTTCTCAGATCTTCAGCAAGCACTTTTTTTCCTTCTTTGACCGCCAACTGTATTCATATGCCAAGCTGTACTATCTCCCGAAGATGCACTGTCGAGTATTTACGGTGAATTTAGGGCGGTACGCAGTTAGCTGAGAGAACGCAAACAAGCCTTCACATGTGTTTGGGTTAGCAGAGGCTCGCCATTCTGGTAACCCATCTTCTCAAAACGAAAATCGCAAGACGCTCAAGACCTACACTTCTGAAGCCGTCGACCCGAACCACCGAAAACCTCAAAACCTTACGCCCTCGACTCAACCCTCCAACGCGAAAGCCCATAGCCACAAGCTCCAAAGCCCAAAACCTGCGAAGTATTCGACAAATCCTTACGCAGCTCTGCAAAACCGATAGACACAAAGACAGCACTACAAGACCCGATTCAAATCCTGAACAGAAAACCCTAAACCTAAAAGCCTGCATGAAACCTTAGGTCCTAAACCCTGAACAGAAACCCCCAAGCTCTCAAACCCGAAATCCTAACCCCTGAACAGAAATCCCTAAGCGCTCAAACCCTAAACCCCTACATCTTATTGCACCCCTCTATAGTGACCCTCATAGATCCCTTAAAGGAATCCTAAACCCCCAAGCCCTAAACCCCTGAACAGAAAGCCCCCAGAGCAGACTGAAGGTGACCCAGGCAGAGGACCTTTCGTCGAAGTGACTCGACACAGGTGGGGCTCCTCACCGATGGGGGTTTCCGAAAATAGGAGGCCCTAATATAGTACCCTAAATAGTAGGATCCATATTAAAAGGACCCTCAAATAAGGTACCCCCGAATTTTCCGAAACTCCCACAATAATCCCCATTATAGAACCCCTTATAGATCCCTTTAAGTAGGGAAGCGCCTTAAGGGACCAGTGCCCCTAATTTTCGGAAACTCCCTGCTTGGTTTCCAAGGTGGCTACCGTAACCCTAAAAGCCTGCCCTTCTCTTGGATCCTTTTTCAAGACTTATATAATGTAGGGAAATCATATTAATATGATTTCCCTATATATATATATATTATATATACATATATATATATATATAAGTTCTGAAAAAGGTAGGGTATTCAGGGCGAAGGTTGTGTACAAAGAGGGGTTCGATGGGGTCTCTATGTCACATTGTTGGAGTTTTTTTGCGGGGGGCTCGGAACCCAAATACTCATGTATGTGGGTTTAAGATTCTATTCTAAGCCCTGAACCCTAAACCCTAAACCTCTTCATTGGTTCATACTTGTCATCAACTGTGGGCTGATAATGCCGCATTGCTCATTGGAGTTTATGATGATCGGGTTTGGGGCCTTGAGCATTAAACCAGTAACCCTAAACCCCTTAACCCTGAAGCCGTGGATCATCGGTGGGTTATTCAGAGTGGATCCCGTGGAGTTAGGCGTGGACCCCGTGGGTTCGAAGTACTGTTTAGTGTGTGATCAGGGTGGAGGGTTAAGGGATCAGGGTTTGTGGTTCAGGGTGGAGGGTTCGGGGTTGCGGGTTTCGTTTTTAGAGTTGAGGGTTTAAAGTTTCATTATGGTCGTTGTTTTAACGTCTAGGGCGGTTGTTCCAGCCAGAACATTTCTTATCGCCATCGACTCACGACGCTTGTGCTGAAACATCTTCGCTACTACGCAATACAGGTTTCGTGCAATACTTCCGCATGACTACAAACCACCTCTTGAAGTTCTTCTGGGGAAGTACAGGTAAGCAGCATCGATGTTGATTGAAATGCTGTCTTGATGTTGTGTGCCCTTCCTCATCTTCCACGACTGCGGCGACTTCGTCAGGGCGATTGAGGACGGACTGCCTGCTGACTGACTTGTTCTTGGGCGACTAAGAGGTTGCGTAGTGGTCTTCCGTGGGCACTCAGGGTGTGAAACACGCAGCAGATGATTGTCCGACTGTTGAGGGCTCAAGAGTCGCAGCCCTCGCGACATGTTTCTAGGTACAAGGGATGCGTCCGTGTGTCTGCGTGTCTACGGTTTGGGCACGTGACAAGAAGGGGCCCAGATGCCGTTGTGTTTCGGAAGCGCGGCTCACCTGCCTCAGTTTGAGGACAGTTGCAGTCCCCTTTTGCAGCAGCAGCGGAGCTATTCGGACACGATACTTCGAGGAGCTCAAGTAGTCGTGTTGCTCTGTGGCTGCTTTCTCTGTCTACTGACAATACGGAGCGTTGCTCCGTCGATCCCGAGTCCAGCGGCTGTGGTGCTTGCCGACTTGGAGCTACGCCGGCTTCCGGAAGCGAAGAAGGCCGCAAAGTCTGTAGAGATCGTCTACAAGCTTGGCGCAGAAAGGTCCGGAAAGAAGCAGAAATCTGATATCGCAAGGCTGTTGGAAATCTTCGCCGAGTCCTCTGAGCTAGTAGGCCACCCAATTGACTCCGTAATCAGTGCAGCTACCTCTTTGGGGTCTGCCTTGGGCTTCTCACCGCAGACGGAAGCCCAAAACCTGCTAGATACAGCTGTTCAACTCATGGACCTCCATTTCGAGAAGCTGCATTCCCAGTTCGATCAGATCCAAAGAGGCATAGATGAGATCGATGCTGATCTGTGTCTGGGCTTTGGAGTACCATACTTTAATTCTGCTTTCCTTCAGGGGAACCATTATGAAATAACAGTTTATACTTTTTTCTCCCTGGTTACTTAACAGCTCAGGTATACCCTGCACAGCAACGAATGGTTCCAAAGGCGTGAAATGAAGAGGATCATCAGCACATGCCAGGGGTACATGACCAAGCTTCGGGAGTATTACGAGGCAGATGTCTGGGTGAAACAGGGCCAGTTTGATCGGGTCGTGCACTATGCAGTGGCCGCAGCAAAGCAGTATGAAGACTTGGTTTATAGTGCCTTCGTAGACAAAGCGGTCCATGAAAGCCTCGAGTCTGCTATGAAACCCATGGCTGGGTGGTCACAAATTCCGCATGCAGCCGCCGTGTATTCGGAAGTACTCCTGGCTCGAGTCTGCCTTCTTCAGTTCCAACTTGTGCAAGAAACCTGGTTGGGACACGACTTCGGCTCAGCACCGATGCTGCTGCTCTTGGAAGAAGCTGCAAGTCAGCTGCGACAGTACCAGAAAAGTGCAGTGCACTTGCGAATTGAAGAAGCGGCCAAGCTGTCGATGTCGGCCCGTGAGGCACTGCAGAACAACTGCACGGCGGCAATCCAGGGATTCGGGAGGAAACGCGACAAGGTTGAAAAATGCCTGCTCTTTCCAGAGACCTTTCACGCTGCAGAGAAGGCCCTTCAAACAGTGTGCTGTGAAGGTCGGAAGGCTGCACTTGGCTATATGACGGAGGACCATGACCTTTCACACGGTAGCGTTCCATGGCAAGAGGGAACTTGTCCGCTTGGTATGATGAACGAGACTGACAAAATATTCGGATGTAATTTTTGGTTCACATGGTTGCCGCACGGGAAGTCCCCTGGATTGATAGCTCGGGCAGAGCCAGCAGACGTTTCTGGCGGTGATCAGTCGGTTCTCGTGGGCACATATCTGAGCATCTTCTCGTCCCCAACTTTGTTGCTGAGACGAGGCCCCATTCATGACTTTGGGCATTGGCAGCAGCTTGATGGCTCCCTGCCCGGATTCGGTGTGTTCCCGGTGTTCCATTTGATTGACTTAACCGGGGAGGACCCAGTTGATTACATCTCAAACTTCACAATGCCTAGAGACACAAGCATGATGAGCCTTCATCCTTCCTTCTCCTGCTGTCAGTTTATAGCATTGGCAAAAGGCAGTCTCTGGCTGGATTCAGACTCCGAGGGCGTCTCCGCGGCGGGACTGCAGAAGACTCATACGATCTGTTACACCAGCATCTGCTGCGGCTGCAACCGTAGCCTATTCCGCTGGGCGCCTTATTGGAATCACGTTTCCATCGAGGGCATCTGAGACATGAGCTCACTGCCGGCTGATGAGCGGGAAGCCCCCTTTTGGCTAATGCATATCCCATCTGACGGTCAACCGAATCGGTGCTGGAATCGAACTGCTCAAGGCCGCTGCACATAGCTCAGCGTCCTCTCGCGGTAGCAAAAGTGATCGAGCCCTTCAGGCACTGGGCCTTTGCAGTACACCTCTTCTCCCTTGATATGATCCCGAGCATGGAACAACTTCAATACACTTATTGCTTACTGGTTTGTGGCTTGAAAGGAGTTCCGCTGACTGACTTGCACGTTTGCGGACCGTATACCCCAAACCACCGCAGCACAGGACTTTGACCCCGAAACGGCTCTTTACCGCGCATATGAGGCACTTCGCTCGTAATTCAGAGCGCTAATTGTAGCCGCATGCCCATTTAGGCATGCTCGTATAAGAATTGTTCTTACTGCTAAGTGTTATCCTGACTCTAAATTGTGGTAGAGCAACAACAACAACAAGAACAACAGCAACAACAACAACAGAAAGCAATAAACGCGATGATAGCAATACTAATAGTAGTCACAGTCATGATGCTAATCATACCCATCATCAACTTACAGATGTCATCTTAAAGTTTACATTGCTAGCCTTCTTGTTTGTTATATATACTGAAGATCTCGACTCTCACCTTCCTGTTCTTCGTGGTGACTATACCCCACAGCCTATTCTCATGATAAGAGCTTCTAGGTCATGCCCTCTTTGCGAAGGAGTTGCTGGCCGAGTTCTACAAGCCCACTACCTCAAACGAGTCTTGGGTGGTTCGTTTGGTGTCATGCGTTTGGTTCCACTGTTCGGGCGTAAGCACATCCGATGTTCCCTCGTGTTCGGATTCGTGCTTTCCTCAGAAAATGCCAGTCACAGGTACCAAAGGACCAAGGATAGAGGAAACAAGGTCAGAAAAGTAAAAACAACAGTACATAAACACGCCCAAAGGGTGTTGCTTACACATCGTGATCTCCAGCCCTCCATGACCGAGGACGACCTTCGCCCGTTCCTTTGTGGCGTTGGTTTGAACGCTCATTTGTGTGGTCATGGCGTGAACAATCTGCAACCGACCAAATTTCCTTGTGTGCTAGACCCCATTGCCCTTCATTACCCTTATCAGGTACTTAGTTACTTTGGACTCCCGCAGAAATGGTAGCAGGCGAAGCTTGTTATTGCCGCTGCCAGGTGAGATGAGATGACGGCCCATGAAGATCGGTTCAGTTTAGCATCGACTGGATGTACTTGGTCTCGGGCAGTCTGCTTCGTTTGCAAAATGCCTGAATCCCGAGCGCTGAAGTGCTTAGCGATCGTCCTGGCGGCGTAAGGCTTTAAGGTGTAGCCTGTGTCCAGCATGTCATGAAGACAAATTCCACAAGCCTGTCGTATCCTGATACATCAATCGCAGTGGGGCTCCAGAGACTCGCCCCAAGCCTGAAATCATCTAAACCTTAAACCCTAAACCCCTAAAACCTAACCCCTAAACCCCAAACCCTAAACCCCCAAATCCTGCACGGTAAAAAGACTATCGGTCTGTTTCACCCGACCGGCCTCTCTACTCGCGGAGAGAAAGGTCCGACATGAAAGGCCTGAGTAACTAGCAGTGGTGTTCCTTAAGGTTCCCAAACGCGTCTGTGTAGGAATATAGGGGCCTTAATTCATGATTACCTATACTATGTTTGGGGGCTTCCGTATTATAACCACAGTTTAATGGGCCCCAAAGCCCTCTTGAAAATACAAGGCCCCTAAAACACGAATTCCGCAGGAAAGCAAAGTCCGGTTCTTAAGCCGTAGCCCCTCCCCATGATCGTGCAACAAGGCGTCTTCTCTCCTGTTGAAACCGCGCAGGACTCCCTCGGGTTCCCCCAAGGCCCTAGGGGTTCCTTTAAAGGGATCCCGAAACCTTAGTCGTTCTCTGCTTAACCATAAACCCCAAACCACCACTATTCTGGTTTAGCATCACATGACCGCCAGGCCGAGCTGTTAAACCCATATATACACACATACTTACAGGAACACCCAACTGACTGGCACTTAGATGTTTCAAGGACTCGGCACAACTAACAGCAACATGGCATCCTCACACCCTTGAGTACCTCCGCATCATCAGTAGCCGCGATCGAGCACTTACTCTTCAATGCGCAATACCTCTGTCATTCCTAGCTTTCAGCATCATCATCAGCGCCAGGACCTGCATGACCTTCATATGCATCCGAAGCAGCAACAACAGAACTTCGTTATCATCATCCTCACCGACATTACCTTCGTGATTCACTCCGACATCATTACCGTCAGCACGAATCTCAGCACCACCACAATCATCATGCTCTGGGCAATTCAATCTTCAGCGAGCCACCACAATCAGTCAACAGCATCATGTTGCCATCATGGTTTGCTGCTTGTGACGTGTAACAGCCTTGCATCCCTGATGGCTCAACTTCTGAGTCCATGAGCCACGTCATTTAGCATGAGGTGCCCAGGGTGATTGCAGGGTTAGGATGATTCAATGCAGGGCCTCAACAAATTACCAATACTATTTTGGGGGTTCCTTATAATAACTATAGGAGAATATGCCCCAAACCCTGTTCGAATTAATAAGGCCCCTTGAGATAGGCTATGACAGACCTACTGTTGCAGCCCTGGTCGGGAACAAACGCGAGCTTGACAGCCTTGCTCTACATAATAAATGCAGAGGTCAGAATAACAATTTCCAATAGTGCTCCCTGTCACATAACTCCGATATAAGACAGTATGCCTCCAAGGCATGTTCTAGATATTAAAGACCCCCCATAATAGGTTCAGCCGTCAATCAGACGCCATGCAGGGCCTCGTCGATTACGAGGCCCGCAAGCATGCGAAGCAGCGCCCCAAAAAACGGAACAACGCTTGTGCAGATGAACCTGGCCTATAGCTCCCGCATGGCCTCAGTCGAGTCAGGTATCGGGTTGTCGAAGCCTTCACGGCTGTCTTGCCCTAAAGGCTCCAGTTACCTTAATAGTAGGTTACTAACCATATATTATATACCCCAGTAACCCTCTATTGAAGTAACTGGAGCCCTAGGGTTACATCCGAAGATCTGAAGCAGCTCTTTACGGACCGGGCCGATCGTGCGGAAGCTTGTAAACCCAATGTCGTTCTGACCTGAAGTTAAACAGCATAGATAGGTTTGGGGGCAAGCTTGGGGCGCAGGGCTCCCATGAAACAATTGCTTGATCCCTTTATAGTCTTTCCTGACTACTCAGAGTATGTTGGGGGCTGGGTCTTCATTAGTGATTATGGAATACTTTTTTTTGTTTTGCTTGCATGGTTTCCTTCCCCGAAGCCCCTCAGATGGAAACCCTGAACCCTGGCGAGGATTCTGATGAGGATGCGGAGCCGAATGCGTCAACTGAGGACGTTGCATGCTTGGACTTTAGAACCTAAACGCCAAACCCTAGACACGCAAAAAGACTTAGGGCTAAGGGCCCTAAACCCTAAAACCCTAAACCCTATGATGTTTCTGCCAAAGTCTTGTTTGCGAGGCGTGGGTTTCAGGATTTCCAGTAGAGGTCGGCATTAGTAGTGGTACTGATATCCCACTTTAGAGTCCCTGTGTATTGGTATTAGCCCGAAACCGTATTCTGATGATTTAAGCCCTTTTTTAATGTGAGGTTTTTTGTCAAGCGTTTTATGTCGCGGTTTTATGTTGCTTGATTGTCTCCCGGCAGCTTCTTGAACCCTGAGGGTCCATCTACCCGAATACTATATACTTTGGGGCCCAATGTACCTTTCTAGGGAGTACTTTAAGGCCAAAACTGTATGCTATTGGGTACATGGAACCTGAGGGGAACGCAATTGTTTTGAACCTTTGCGTCCGAAGCTATGCAGCGGAGGCTTCTTTCGGAACCTTTACAAAACGCCACTGGTCACCACAGGAGTTTCACCAACTAGTAGTAGCAGTAGTATTTTTGTTTACCATTATGTATAGTCAAAGTCAAAGTACAGTGATGCTACAAATGTAGCCCAAAACTCTGTTCAACCTTTATAAGGCCCCTAAACGAAGAGCACAAAACCGCATACTACAAAAAGCCAAATCCCTAAACCATAACCTCTTAACCCCTTTAGCCCTACACCTTCTTCAAACAACTAGGCTGAGGCCCCTGATGTGGGGGGGGCGGGGGGGGTGGTGCCTTGATAATTACCCATACTGTTTTGGGGGTTCCTTATTACATTTATAGTATACTGGGCCCGAAACCCTATTCTAATTGCGGCCCCTATATTATTCCTCCCTTGTTTTAGGGTTTAGGGCTCAGCGTTTCGGGGTTTGGGGTCTGAGGGTTTGTCACTCTACCTGGTGACAGGTTTGCGATATTTGCGGTTTAGAAGGCGTCAGGTTCGGTTCTGTGGCTTAGCGTGTGAGCTTATGATCCACGGATCGGACAAGTTAGATCAGAGCATGTGGGTTCATGCCATTCAAGCCGATATCCTGCGCAGCCCCCTGCCTAATGTCCGAGTCCTAAGCCTCGGAAAGCATACTGACCGAAACTCATTGCAAGTTGTATCACAATGAACACAATATGGGGCCTGGAATGACGAGAATCGGCGGTTGGAGCATAGTCTCATAGAAATATATATGTTATTCCGATCCCGATGTTCCTCGTTTATTCCCTTGTTTCAGGTGTGTGCAACCGTATGGGTACTAAGAAATTCTTCAGCCAACTACCATCTGAACCGAGAGCTTGCACAGAGGCTCGGGGAACTTTCCCACGTAGATTGCACGTATGTAGGTTCATTAGAAGGGTGACTCCTTGTCCCCTAGATCCTAATTCCTAAGTCTAAAAAGCGCTAGAAACTTAAGCTCTAAACTCAAGCCTCACCCTAAAACCCTAAGACCTATGCCCTAAACCCTAAAGCCTTAAACCCTAAGCCCTAAAACCCTAAAACCGTAAACTCTAAACCCAAAGCCCTAAACCCAAACCCTAAGCCCTAAACCCCACACCCTAAACCCTCAA